GGGGTGGCTGTGGGTGGGGGGGCTGCGAGGGGGTGGCATCCTGCGGCGAGACTCACACGCTTCTCCTCCCACCCACAGCAACTCAACGCCATCATCGCCGCCTCCATGTCCCTCAAGTCCTCCAGCAAACTGCGCAACATCCTTGAGGTGAGGAGTTCAGGGTGTGGTGGCCCTGATGGGGGGACGTCGGGCTGGGACGGGTGCACGCAGGGTGCTGCCAGGGTGCATGTAGGCACTGTACTTCGGGGTGCCCCATCCGTGCCGGGTTGTGTCCCCGAGCCATTGTGTCTCCGCAGATCGTCCTGGCCTTCGGGAACTACATGAACAGCAGCAAGCGCGGGGCAGCCTACGGCTTCCGGCTGCAGAGCCTTGACGCGGTAGGGTCGGCACGGGGCTGCCCGGTGTGCTGGTGCACGGGGCCACCGTCACTGCCCAGGGACCAGCCTCAGGGATGGAGGGACACAGGGACCAGCTGTAGAGATGGAGGGACATGGGAATCTGCTGTGGGGATGGAAGGATGCAAGGACCAGCTATAGGGATGGAGGGCCACGGGATTCAGCTGTGGGGGTGGAGGGATGAAGAGACCATCTATAGGGTTGGAGAGGCATGGGGAGGAGCTAAAGGGACGGAGATACACAAGAACTAGCCGTGGGGTTGGAAGGATGCAGAGACCAGATATGGGAAGACGGAGGGATGCAAGGACCAGTCGTGGGGACGCAGGAAGATGGGAACCAGTCGTGGGGTTGGAGGAAGATGGGAACCAGTCGTGGGGTTGGAGGGCCACCAGAGCCTGCCCTGAGCAGGGGTGAGGTGGGGTGGTGGGATGCGGGTTGGGGCTGACGCCGCTCTCTCCCAGCTCCTGGAGATGAAGTCGACAGACCGCAAGCAAACGCTGCTGCATTACCTGGTGCGGGTGATCATGGAGAAGTACCCTGAGCTGACCGGCTTCCACACCGAGCTGCACTTCCTCGACAAGGCGGGCACAGGTAGCACCCGCGGGAACCGGGCTGGGGGGGGTCGCGGCAGGCTGCAGCCCCTGTGCAGGGGCTCTCCAAGCCTGCCCTGACCCCGGTGCTGCTCGCCCTCCCCGCAGTCTCCTTGGACAGCGTGTTGCAGGACGTGCGGAGCCTGCAGCAGGGGATGGAGCTGACCCGCAAGGAGTTCATGCGGCAGGACGACAGCCCCGTGCTCAAGGACTTCCTCAAGGTCAACTTGGAGGTGATGGAGAAGCTGCAGGCTGACAGTAAAACCACCAAGGTGGGTGCTGGGGGTAGCGCGGGGTCGTGGGGCAGGATTGGGTCCCCCCATTCCTACATGGGGACACCCCAGGGTGCCCTCTGCTCACACCTCTGCCCCATGGGAGAGGCTCCTGGTTGGGACATGGCTCCAGCAGGAGAGCTGGGAGCCAGGGGGAATACGGAGGGGGATGGCGAGGTGGGAGAGGCTGGAAGGAGGTGGTGGGTGATGGGGCGCTGCTGTCTGGCCCCAGCCCCCCCTATTGGGGTGTCTCTGCCCGCAGGAGGCATACGAGTCAGCCGTGGAGTACTTTGGGGAGAACCCCAAGACCAGTCCCCCCACCACCTTCTTCCCCATGTTCCTGCGCTTCATCAGAGCCTACAAGGTAGGAGGGGATGGGGGGTGTCCTGTTTCTGGGGGGCCTGACCCCATTTTGGGGTAACCAGAAAAAGCCACACGCGAGGCTGGAGGCTCGTGGGACAGAGAGACCCTGGGGCTCGGTGCTGCCCTTTGGGGCGGTCGGAGATGCTGGAGCTGGGTTGGGGTGAGCCGGGGGTTGCCGAGGGGAGGAAGGGAGGACTGCGGTCCCGCGGCAGGACACCCCAGGCTCAGCACACCCTCCCTGCGCCTCTCCCAAGAAAGCAGAGCAGGACATTGAGCTGTGGAAGAAACAAGAAGCCGCGGTCAAAGAGGCAGAATCCAGCCCCCCCGGCAGCGAGGACCAGCCCGAGGTGAAGGTGCCCCACATGTCCCTCTGTCCTGGTGGGGCAGCTCCGCTCCAGCCCCAAGCGGGCTGCATGGTGGGGAAGGGCAAAGCAGGTCCTGGTGGGGGAGAGCTGGGCGGGGGTCGAAGATGGAAAGCATCTTTGGGGTGCGGTGGGAGGCCACGCCGTTCACCCCGCGCTGTCCCCAACCGCAGTTGCCCATCCAGAAAGCCAAGCGGCAGCAGATGGACATGATCGCCGAGCTGAAGAAGAAGCAGATGGTGAAGGAGCCACTCATCTATGAAGGAAAAGACGGGGCCATCGAGGATATTATTTCAGGTGAGAGATTATTTCAGGTGAGCGGCCGGGCATCCCCCCTGCAGCAGACCCAGCGCTCCGTGCCAGCAGGGAGACCCTCGGTGATGGGGGGCTGCGGGGGGCTGTCACAGCCTGGAGCTGGAGGGCCACCAAGCCCCATCGTGGGGACCAAACCCACCTGTAGCACCTTCCCGTCCCACGCGGCAAAGCTGCCAAGCGCTCTCTGCCCTGTCTCATAGCTCTTCCCCCTCTTCTGCTTCTTCCTCCTCTCTCCTCCTCCTCGCTGTCTCTCTGGATTGCTCTGCTCAGCTCTGAAAACTGTTCCTTTCACGGCCCGGACGGGCAAGCGCTCGTCCCGGCTCTTCTGCGACATGAGCTTCAACGAGGAGAGTCCTCTGTAGGTAACGTGGGGGCAGCCAGGCTCGGGCACAGCGCAGGCGGGGGCTGCCAGACTTTGCCACCCTCCTGGGTTTCTCGGCCCATCGTCACCTCTGGCTGCGTGGCAGACTGGCTGGCCTCCGCCCCATGCTGAAAGCCAACTCCAGGGGCACCACGGCATCAGCCCCAGCCCCACGGTACGGTGCTGGGCACCGAAAGAGCCGAGGGAGGGGGTCCCGCAGGCTGGTTGTTCGTAGCTGCTGTGCCTGTCTCTGCGTGCAGCAGGCCGGGCTTCTCCCGAGCATCCTCGTAACCCCAAAAGGGTGACTCCTGGGTGGTGGTGGGTGACTGGGTCCCAGCCTTTGCCGGGGTGGGCAGGTGGAGCTCAGCCAGCCTCTGCACTTTCTCCCGGTGCAGATCTGCGGAACAACCCTTACCGGCGTGGAGACAAGGGCCGCGGCAGTGCCAAGAAACGTGCGGGGCAGAACCTGCAGGCGACGCCGGACATCTCGCTGTGACCAGCGCCGTCCCTGCAGCCGCCAGGACCGGGGCAGAACCATCCTCCCGACGCAGATGGGACTGCAGGACATCAACCTGCCAGCCCGGGACGACGCGGGGCGGAGGGACAGTGCCCGCTCCTAGTTGCTCCAGCCGCTTAGCGTGCCAGCTCCCACCCTGCATGCCCTTGGGTCCAGTGCAGGGATCCCCCGGCGCTTGCTTAGCGATGCCTCTGAGCTCCTCTCCTCCAGGCTGGCAGGGCTGGGGGACCCTCCTGGGTATGGGCAGGGAGGGGGGAGCACAGAAAGGGCCCCAACTTGTCCTGGAAGGAAGAGAGGGGCTGCTCCATCCCTACCCCAGAGCTGCTCCATTGCACGCCTGTCTCAGGGTCAGCCCTGGGCACTGGCGTGCCCCACTCTTCAGCTTGCTGGTGCCTTTGATTTCCCGCTGCAGGAGGGGAGGAGGGTTGTGAGCCGGGGACGCAGCCGTCCCTGCACATCTCCCCTGTCTCCCCCAGCCCTTTGAGACCCGTGTTCTCCTCTGCTGCAGAGTCGAGCAGGCACGGGCTGTGCCTCCTCTCCAGCGAGGAGCCTGCTGCAAAGATCCCGCCCTGGGCACTTCCCGTACCCCAGGAGCTGGCAGGGGTGCTATTTTACAGTGATTTTATACGTCTTCCTTAAAATTTCTCTGTGCTATGGGAGCAGAGACTGGGACACCCATGTACAGGGTCTCACCAGGATCCCAAGGCTGCGGTGAGCAGCACTGGGCTGATCCTCGCTGCAGGGGAGGTTCCGTAGCTACGACAATCAGCAGCAGGGGCAAGGATTTACTGTCCTCAAGTCTCTGCTGGGTAGTACCTAGCTCTGCCCTCCTGCATCCCTGACATCCGCCTCTGCTGTTGGGGCTGAAGCCTCTCAGAGGCAACAGTGACCATCAGCCCTCGGGGAGCACGAGGCTGCTCCCCGTTAGCCGGCAGTTGCAGGATGCAACATGCAGCAGGCGCTAGGCAGCCTCCAGCCCCTGCAGCAAACACCACGATCCCAAAACGCTGCAGGGTCACAGCTGACATCACGCAGGAGAAAGAGGCCAGAGAGCTGCACAAGCCTCCAAATAAAGCACTGGACCTGATTCCTCCCCTGCCCTGCTGCTGATGAGTAAATCCGAACCATGCACTGTCGCAATTAACCTGTTAATGCATTTACTTCGTTAAACGGCCCCTGCTCACCCTGCTGCGAGGACGCGTGGCTGCCGTGTACATTCTCGCTAGCCCCAGCTTTTAGGCCGGGCTGAGTCCTCGCTGTAAGCCAGAGCAGCGACTGCTTCCTGCTGTAATTAAGATGCCAAGCGCCAACCGGCTCAGTATCAAAGTATCCCGGCTCAAAGGGGAGGGAAGGGAAATGAATGTGTAACTTATAAATGCCTTTAAGCCAGAAATGTAAAACATTAACTGCTAATTTGTATACATTATTTTTATATACTGAAGGCCTGTTTAATCTAAAGCAGAACTGGTAATAAAATGACTCTAAGGATAAAGCACTTGTCTGTGAGAAGGGGTGAAGCTTCGCAGGGGGGGCGATGCTGCGATGGAGGGAGGGAGGGCGGGATGGATGGAGGGATGCACGAGCTGCTGCTCGTTGCTCTGCTAACAACGCGTGACCTCCTGTGTAAGGAACTGCTGCCAGGAGCGGTGACCATGCTCCTTTGAACATTTTTAAGTGGAAGATGTATTTCTGACTTGCCCATGACTGCAGCTGGGGGTAGGGAAACTTCAAGGCTCCACTCAGCCCTGCGGCTCCTTCCAGGACTGGCAGCCTCTAGGCAGATGTGATCTAGTGGGTAAGAACATGAGGAATAAGAGTGCCACAGGACAACAGAAGGGAAAAGCCAGGACTTGTGGCTCTTCCAAGGGGCAGTCCCCCTTCTTACCACACAAGTGTCCCTGAGGAGAAGGCTACCAGACCCCAGGCACCTGCACAGACACGTACCCATCTCTGCTGGGCTACCTGGGCGAGGAGGCCACGGCTTCTGCCATCCACAGCGTGGAGGAGCAGACGGCTCAGGGAGAGGCTAAGCCCAGCACAAAGGTCCAGGGCAAAGGCCCAACACAAGCTATTTTACGCTGCTTCTCAGTTGGGCTGTCCTCAGAGACAAGAGGTGGTCTAGTGCTTCCCTAAGCTGATCTGTATCTTTCCAGGGAAGTCTAGTGACAAAACACCCGCCTCACTCTGGGGACAACTGATCTGACTTCTGTGTTCACAGTACAAACACAGGTATGTGATAGCAACGCCCCCCCCCCTCTTCAATTTGGGGTTTATGTTTCAAGACACCTGACCTCACTCGCTCACTGGCAATGCCACCAGCACACCTCCAGTCCACTGCGCTGATTTAACAGAAACGCACCACCTAAGTGGAGACAAACAGCTCCTGCACCAACAGCCGGCAGAAGCACTTGCTGAAAGGTGTGGGCGAACCTCCAGAGCTCTGCCTGCCTAACCCGGTACCTCTGGATCCCAGACCTACTTCTCCACTATCGAGGGGAAGGCTCAGCAGCTCTCAGTACGGCGAATCCCCCTGCCTGCAATGGGACAGGAGGAGGAAAAAGGACCATCTACTTGGAAATAGAGAGATGCCAGTATATTTAGCAAATCCTGTGCTCAGATCCATCAAAGTTATTGCTGCCTCTTCATACCCAGAAATGACTTCTCCCTGCATCCCCCAAAAACTAGGGTAACACGTAGCAGAGTTTAATCAGACCAGGCTCCCCTTCTTGAAAAACGTCTTATTCAGCATCATTGTCTTGTTCTCTGGGACAACGTATCAAACCACTAGCAATGAGAACGAAGAATCTTTTTTTCCAGCTTTATTTTTTTCCCTGTGAAAATGCAGGTCAAAATATTAATTTCAAGAAATCACAGTTTTATAAAGTGTCATTCATTCAGTACAAGCTAGTCATTCCATCGTCTTCACCCATGCCAGTACTGCCCATCCCAAAGAGATTATCAGCTTCACACTGCTTTGCCAACAGTGATTTTTCCAGACTTTAGGAAGGAGCTACATGACAAGAGCCATCTGTGTTTATCACTCCTACTGCTATTTGTCCTCCCTACCCTGAACTGGAGCTCTGTCCTAAAGACTAGTTATGTTATTACACACAGTTTCAGCCAAATTTTAACATGGATAACAAAAAGCTTTCCTGACTTTTTCTTCTGTCAGTATTGCACAGCCAGCCTTCATCTGGAAGCTGGACTTTTTATGCCTGTTACAGCAATAATGACCAGCCAAATTAAGAGGAAACTGTCCTGGCAGCAGAGGAGAGTCAAGGAGATCCCAAGCTGGTAGGTAGCAAAAACATGAAAACCCTGGAGATACTCCTGAGAGCAGAACCACATTTCAGGACAGTAGGAAAGCACCAGTGGTTTGTGGTATTTGCCGAAGCGTCTTTCCCATCTGGCAGGGACTGCTGACACCTCAGCCCGCTTGTCTGGCCGGCTGTCACGTAACAGATTTGTTAGGTAGAAATCTGCAGCCTCACTTTCTCACTTGAGGTGGCAGCAAAATAGGACTGAAGGTTTTGGACAAAAGGAACAGGATGGAGATACTGGCTAATGCTGGTGTGAGAGTACAGGAGAACATGGACATCTCCATCTACCCAACAAAGACATTCTGGGTTCGCAAGGGTTTACTGCCTTTCACCCATTCGTGTAGGTGGCCTGAGATTAATGTTAATGCTATAGATGAAGTGTAAAGCTCAGAAGTCCTGTAAACAGAGGGCTGCTGCATCCTGCCCTGCTGCTCGGCAGAACTTGAGTCTAACACCAATGTACAAAACTGTACACCCATACATCGAAGCATTTTGCAGACAACAGTGCAAGCCACGAGATGCAGCCTTTGGGAAGGGAACAGACCATGCTTTCGTATTGACACATCACCAACAGTGATGTGTCATATTGACACATCACCAACTGACTCTTCTTAGAAACAACTAACAGGTTTTTCTCCTCCCCCCCTCAGAGGAAGCCTAGGAAGGGTGCCAGGAGTGGGGAGTTTGGTTGCTGCACCGAACACGTGCTTGGGAGCTCCTGGGAACCCTGGAGAGGCATTTTGATCCCTCCTGCTCCAGAGCCTACAATTCTTAGTAGTTTATGGCATCTGAAAAAAAAGAAATCGAGCCAACCTACCCACTCCCCCCACTCCTTCCTGGAAGAGATGTGCGTAATGTGTTAATTGTTTACTAAAAAGACTCTTAATGTGGCATTTCAGATATAATTAGGTATGTTTTGGACAACGTATTAAGTGCTTTAGAACAAAAAGTGCTATAAAAACTATATCCATAGCTGTGACAGGTTTCATTTTTCTTCAAGAATTCCACTTTTTTATTGCATCACTACTTTAGTTTTCTGATTAGGGATGTCACTGCCTAGTGTATCAAAACCAGCCGATGTTCTGGGAGACCAAAGGGAAAGAGTATCAGTTGCTTAAGGAGCATTGGTCCTCAAAAAGGGAGGCCCAGAGCATATCTTTTCCCAGCTATTTTCTAAGTGAACTTCACTTGAGAAAACTGCCAACATTCCTGCCCCATTGTGTCTCTCAGAACCAGCACAGATCTGGCAGGGCCTACCTTGCTTTTTTGGAGCTGTTTCTTTACTCAGCCTGGATGTAGATAGCCCCTGCTCAGAGGCCACTGTAGTTACAGCACACTGGAAGAGCCACAGCACGTTGTCAAGTGACCCTGATTTCCAGATGTGCAAGGACTTCGAGCAGTCCTGAACAAGTACACTCATAGCTTACACTTCCCTCTGGTTTTGTTCTGGGTTATAGAAGGGCTGACAACACCTGCCCGTCTGAATTTGACCCACGCAGTTTCAGTATACTCCAAACAATTCACAAATCAGTAAAAAAAAGCTCAAAGCTTAAGGCATTAGGGCCCAGCTGCCCATCCCACTCCTTTAACACATTTTGACATAAGGGGAGCAGCACGAATCCTCGTGCCAGTCTGTAAGTGCTGGTGAAGATAGTCTGAGCTAACACACCACGCAGAACTGGAGCACTGATCTCCAGCGGAGGGGCCGAGCGGCCGGCTGGATTGATAGCTGGGAGTGAGATTTTATAAACACTGCAGCAAAATTCAGACCTTGTCTGAGCTGACTGAGCCGCCGGTCCTTCCCCCTCCAGGGGGAGCTGCCTGGACGGGACAGTTCACATGAAGTCCAGAGTCAGCGGTGGAAACAGGATGGAGGAACACAACCCCTTCACCCTGCCCACCAGGGAATACCCTCCTCCTGTCCTACCTGCCAGACAACGTTGGCAGCAATATCAGAGAGAGAGCACCAGCTCCTAAGTCGGGGAGGAGACCTGAAGATGAGAGCTGCAAGCAAAGCTCTTTCTGGGAACAAAGTTCTTTTCTGATTCAAGAAGGAAGCGTCTGCGGGGAAGGGTGGGAGGTGAAACCAAGAACCCAGCTAGTTACTGCTGTCGACTTTCCCCATGCAAAAGGCTAGAGGTAGAGATGATGCTACCCAAAGCCTACAGAAACATTAAGTTTTTCCTCCAGCTAGAAGGAAGTTAGCCAGCTCCCCTCGGCGCAAACAACCACAGCTGCACTGAAGATACCCAACCTCCTCCTTTGGGCAAGCCCAGCAACTACCCGCTTCACCTCGGAGGCTGAGCAACAGTAGTTCTCATCCAACCCCCTATTCTCCTGAAAAGCACAATCGCATTCCTCTGAAAAGCAGGAATTTCCACCCACCATTCTCAAGCTCAACCTAACACTCACACCCAAAACAAGTAATTCCCACTGTTCTGGGGAACATCTAAGCTCAGGACATGTCTTGGAACTGGATCAGAACAGACAACAGAAGTGAGGCCCGAGAGCAGCGAGCTGCTGAACCGCTATCCTACTTCAGCACAAAACACCAGCAACTGCACTTGGTGCTCCATGGCAGGGGTGGTTGGAAGCTTTTGCAATTCCTTCTTGCAACAAGGTAAAAACCTCCAAAACAGGAACGGCTTCATGGCCTGTTCTCCAGTTGACCGTGTTTGACTCGCCATGTCCAGCTGACGCTGCAGTCAGGGGCAAGGGTGCACTGCAGCTCAATACCAGAGTCAGGGACCTCCATGTCGTAGTGAACTGGTTGGCCTTCTTTAGTAACCAGACTGAAAGCAGGGACTGGTATCTGTGAAGCAGAACAAACAGATCTGAGTGGCACTTCAAGTCTCTTTCAGAACATAATACCCCTCTATCAAACCTAGCAAATAGCTTCCCAACCCAAGAAAAGCTCCTGGAGAGAGGCTTGTGCTTGGCAGGAACACCCTAACCTTCTCTTGTAAGAAAGTATCTCAGAAACTGAACTAGGTAGCATTCACCCGGCTGCCGAATTGCCTCACCCGAGTTTTTGACCATTGCTGGTGGTTCCTGGACTGCCTATGTTTGGGCACTGTGAATTCCTCTGCAGGCTAGTGTTACGTCCAAGAGAACAAAGTATGCCAAAGATAACCAACACCACTAAAACATTTTCTGGACTTCTGCAACCTCTTTGTTTAGAGATGATCACCACATTTTACACTCAGATGAGTCACAGTCCCACAAACACTCAGGAGTTTCTTTCAGGGGCTGCCAAAGAGGCCCACAGTGAGGTTCACTGGAGTCTGCCAATATCCTCCAACCTAACAAGTTAGAAGCATCACAGCCAAAACACAGCCCATTTCCTTTAGCTGATATTACTGCTCTTGATGAAAAAGTCATATAGTGGTTCTTCTTTAGGGACAGAGGAAAGAATTTATCTTTATAGTTGAGGAGAAGAATTTTTATGCTGCAGCACAGGTACTTTCTCAGATGGAGATCCCTATGGTCCCTATGACAATTAGCAATGGCTTATGATTCAGAAAACATCTTCTGGTATCACACTTACAGCAGCAGCACTGAAGTTATATTACTAAACGTGTCATTAGGATCCTTGAATGGACTTCTGGGTCACTGGTTTTAAGGCATTATGAGGCTGCACTATGGAAGAAATTGCTCCTCAGTCAGAATGCTGTACTTAACTCCCAGCTTTGTGTCTCACCTGGCTGCTTATCCCAGTGGCAATGTCTCCCACCTTTGTCCTGTGGAAATCCCTGATGTGTAAATTTTCTCCACTTAGCAACTGGATCTGGATTTTCACTCCTGAAATGCGCAAGAGAAGTCATTAGCTTCTGCTGTAGGCATAATGACTTCACAGTCCAACACAGAAACATTGACTAGCAAGGCACATACATCAGAAGAACTCGGTTTTGTCATTAAGCATTTAATTTCTGTAGGTCTTTCGCTGAGCATGGAGGCTTGCTGAAGACAACAATGACTCACAGAGCAGAGCTGGATTTAGCAAGAAAGCAGCTGAAGAGATGCATTGATTTGCACAACATGCCCTCAAAATTACTTTGTAGACATTTGTAGACATTTATGGTTATAAAGCATATATTCTTGCACATGGCAGTTGCACAAGGGAAGGCATACAAAGATGAACCAGACTCTGTGCGTTCAGGAACTTCTCTGGCTTTTACTTGGCTGCACAGAGTTGAGTGCCTTCCACCCATCTATGGCTGGGGCAGACTTGGCCTCTTGACAACCCGTATGCTTTTAGGAGGGTCTGTGCTGACACAGTAACTGAAGGATAAGAAGAACTCCGAGACTCCATATCCCAGACCCTCTAGATACTGAGAAAAATCATACCTGACCATCTATCCAAGCTTTAGAAATTCAGGCTCACCGTTGAAATAGCTGGGAGTGTCTGTGTGCCGACTGCGGTTCAGCAGGTTGTTCCAACTGAAGCTCTGTCCATCTGTCTGGCTGTTCCAGGAATGAATCCCAGAGCTCATGGTGTCCCTCAAGCTATGAGAAGCCTTCATGGAGTTCTGCAGAAGCAAGCACAAGTGTGTCAAAGGCTCCTAAAGAAAATGAGCTTGCATGAGATAAACATTTCTTCTCAGGACAAAAAAAGTATTAATCCACAGGGATCTAGGCTGGGCCTTGAGTTATTCAACATTCACCTGCCACCTAGAAAAGGGGACGAATAGCAATGCAACAATTTGCAGACATAGTAAGTTATTATCAATAGTCAAATCAATAATCAGCTGAAAAGCTGGATGAGGAAAAAAAGGGGTTTATCATACTTAGTGACAGGAGAATCTTTATTGAGATAAAATTCTAATGTCGGTAAGTGACAAGTAACACCCAGGAAAAACAGTTAACTGTACATAAACAACTACAGACCCTACCTTGTTGTACTGCTTGGAAAAGTCTACACTGTCTTAGAGTCATAGAAGGTCAATCTGACAACATCAGCATAGTGGCAAGTACCAGTCAAAAATCAAATTAAATGTTAGGGTTAGATACTAGGGGGGAAAAAAAAAAAAAAAGCAGAGTCACATCCCACGCTGCACACCATGCTGTGTCAACAGCTGAACTACTGTACAGAACTCTGCTCAATCCTCCTCAAAAAGCATTCAAAGGCTGAGAAGAGGAACAGAAATAGGAAACAAAAGATGCTCACAGTCAGAAATGACTCCTGTAGATGGCAGGCTACACAATTTTGGACTCTATGTCTTTGAAAACAATGATTGAAGGGCTTACGTCCTTCCCTGGTTCAACAAGGCTTATTCAGTGTTTCTCACTGGTATTCCCTAGCTTATGAACACCAGAGATAGAGCAAACAAAATTAATTAAACTTAGTATTTAAGTAACTTGGACTACGTAAGTCATTAGTATGAATGGGTTAAAAGAAGTTCATGGAGAACAGATCCATAGGCTGGGAATGAATATCCAAGAGCAGGGTCTCTGTTCTTCTGCCCTATTCTTCTGGTCTTTCCCTAAACATCCCTTTAGTGGCCATTGCCAGGAAGAAGACCACAGCCATTTGGTCCAACTTGGTACAGCTCCTACGCTCATCACTGCTTCTGCAGTTCCTTTCTTCTGCACAGAGAGGGTCAAGGCCGCTGAGATTTTCCATATCCACACACTTGATGCTTACTGTGAGTACACAGCACAGGAGAGCAACTGGAGGAAAGGGATCCATGCTGGACAGTAAACTGAAGAACCACTACAATCCTAAATACCCCACTGTCCAAGAATAAAGATTTCTTCCCAAGATACTCTCCAGCAAACCGTGTGTCAAAAAGCAGCAACAAACGGGAGAAACTCCAGGTGTCCATTGGTCACAGCGTCCAGTTTCCCAGAGGTGGTTACCCTGCCACCCCCCCACACCCACAATAACACGGCTAGCATCCATTTATACCCACCTTCTCACTAGCATCTGACACGAACGGGCTGTCGATGCTGAGACATGAAAGCATTTGTTCTTGCTCTTCCAGCGAGTAAGGCTGTGAAAGGCTGTTCAAAAACAGTTCTGCAAGCAAAAGGAAAGAGAAGGAAGACGTTTCCAGTGTTTCCTTTCACGCCTCCCTGCTCTAATCACAGTTACTGCAATTAATACCCAAAGCTTCTTCAGCATTATCTAATGAACATTGATATTAGTGTCCGCAAAACACACGACACACAATTCCTCTGCTAAGTAGCAGCTACAGCCACCACTGTGAAAATAGGGAAACTGAGCCAGAAAGGACAGATGAATTGTGCAATGACATGCAAAATGCCAGAGACGGGACTAGCACCCAGAATTTCCCAGTTCTTGCCTATTATGTCACCTATCAGCCTTCACTCTAGATCCATCCACATTATACCCAGGGAAAGGTCAAACTTACGTACTCAACTCTTGCAGTAACTTGCACTGATAGTATCCAGACCTCACAAGGCTGCTGAAGATCCAAAGCCATTTGAGAAGAAAGCTGACCCTCAGCAACCCCTAAAATGCCATTCCTCAGTTCCGTGACAACAGTTACATTTCAAGACACTTTTTTCCTAGCTTTGAAGTTTTCAATTCATTTACAAAGACTAGAAAGTATGGGATAAAAAAGTGAAAGGTTGAGTTGTACTGGGGCAATGGAACTAGACTATTACTTCACTGATTTTCACACTGAACTTACTGCTGGTTTTCAAATTCTGGATTGCTGCTGGTAATCAAATTCGCTGGCTGGTGGCTATAGGTTTTCCAATGCCCAGAACAAAACAGTTGCAGACTGATTTTTAACTATACTGCTTCGTTTGACATCTCCCATCCAATAGGCTTATCCCTTTATCAAAAGAATTATGTTTGAAAACCTAAAATTTCAGATGCAGTTGGAACTGCGGACACTATTTATACGGTGCACATACACACAAGTCTGAAACTGGCTGTTTTCTGAGAGGTTCCTGCACCTCTCACAGAAGTTCGCTCCACTGTTCAGAGAGTGGAAGGAAATCCTGACCACTACCTTTGTGGCATATTTAATTGGTTAAGAACTACTAGTTTTGGTAATTTCAAGGAAGGCTGAGCAATCTGTGTAACGAGAGAGGAACTATGAACAAAATGACATCCAAGCTCAAAAACCAGAAATAACTGTCAAGAAGCCAAAAGAAAGCAGCTGTATTTTTATCATGCTCTCAAGCAAAAAGCTGAATTCCCTACATAGCACATCGCTTACCTATTTCCAGCTGCTGAAGCTCTTGTTCTGAAATGGTTGTTGCTCTCTCCACATGGCTGCAGCTCTTCAGGGGGAGAGGAGTCGAGGAGAGAGGTGGAGGATCCCAGGTCTCAGATGATTCCTTGCACACGTTCCAAGGGGTTCCCTCGACCTCATCTGTTTGCTCCAGAGATGGTGGTGGTAGGACTGGGCTCACACAAGAAACTTTGACTGCCAGTTTTGGGTCAGAACCAGCCTCAGAAACTGGGCTCACTGTGGGGGACAGGAATGTCTGTGGATTGTTTTCTTTGTTCAAAGATAAATGTCTAGGCTCTCTGTATTCACCTTTCCAGGGGCTTGTCACACCTCCCACTATAAAAACAAAAAGCATACAAACATTATCAAATAAAGAAAAAAGAGGTAAAAGTTTTCCTTCACAATAAGAGTTTCTGAACTGTATCTTGCTGTAAAATGCCCAGCTTCTTCAAAAGACAAAACCAGATCACCTCTACAAATTCTTGCTCCATTACAGAACCTTTCAGCAGGATTAAGTTGAAATAAATTATGGATAGTCTTAGAGGCAAGACTGGACCACAAGTATGAGTTACAGTTCAGGATGCAATAAACCTCTGCTTTCAGCTTTGCTGCATACCAGGCTCTAGCTCACGAGATGCAGTTGATACTTCAGCTTAATATGAGCCCAGCCACAGCACACACCTTAATAAACCCACATAAAGCACAACATAGTCTACTTCAAGCAGAGAAGGAAGAAAGAGCATGTGACAGCACACAGGAAATTTTAATTTATTTGGGCGAGAAACGCCTGGCTGTGGGCAACAGCTATCAGCCCAAAAATACACATCAATGCTGAAGCCTGTGCAAATGATATACTGAACAGTAAAACATACTGATATTTCCCATAGGGCCACTCTGACATAAGTAGTGACTGGCCACTTTACCAGTGTGGATAAGAAGCTTTAAATACAGGACATTTCTACCTTCTTCAAGTGCGACACTGGTCTTAGTTTTCAGTTCAGATGCAGATGCTCTCTGAACAGGCTCTTTCTCCAGACCCATTTTAATAATCTCAGCAGTGAGAGGGTTGCAGGAAGGTGGAATTTCCCTCAGAGGAGGTGGCTCTTTAGCTATCTGTGTAACAAACAGGAAGTGAAAGAGGTTAGACCAGAGAGGCTTCACTTGATTTCAGAAAGGTTCTTCCCACCCTGAGAGCATTTCCAACTGAAATTACAGCATTAAATGAGAGACCTGAGCAGTAATTTTATTACAGCTGAATGGCTAAAAAGTCACACCCAAGTCATGAGCAGGATACGAAAGAAACAGCCCTAGCACATGTAATACACAGCAGTCTAAGAGGCGTAAGAAATGATCAGCTTCCAAAGCAAGGCTGGCATCATCGTAAATGCCCAGCTGGCTCTCAGCCAGCTTTCCTGAAATGACTGCTCTCTAGCTAGGTATAATGAGATTTTGCAGGCTTACGTACCATTTACTGGAGATACGCTGGTTCACTTACCTTTAGACAGAGCGGGTGATTGTAGTACTGGGTCCAAGGGTGGCACCCATTAAGCATGTGCAGCATCATACAGCAACTGCTCCAGACATCCACTTTGGAGTCACAGCGCTTTCCCATGACCACCTCTGGAGCCATATGAGTTTCCGTGCCAGGCACATAGTTCCCTAAAACCATTCAAATGAAAACTCACTGCATGTAAACTAGACAATTGCTTCAGTGCAACTGCTGGGAAGCCTCCTTGTCTTTTCAGTTAAAGTGAGAAACAAGTCACCTTAACCCAAAAAGCAGCATTGTGTGCTCTTATAAGCTGTTCAAAGGCTACGTCTCCGTATCAGTCTCATCCCTTATACACAGAATAGGTGTTAAGCTCCCCTTCCCAGCAAATTTGGGAGGCAAAACATTGGCTCCATTGGTGAGCTCAGCATTAGAAAACATATCCTTCTCTTTCCACAGCTGCATTAAGAAGCACTATAAAATTTAACTGTCCAAAAGTCAGCGAGGAATTTTGCTTTGGCAGAGGTCAGGATTCTTCCCCAGCTGTTTAGTGAGGTTACATGACAAGTCAGAGTTAGATTTTTAAGTTTCGATGTGGTTTCTTGCAGGGACAAAACACTGAATGTAGTATGCTGACATAATCTTACAGAAAATACAACGGCCTTCTAGACTGGGAGATAAGGAACACCTTCCAACCTTAAGTTCATTTTAGCTGTCAGTGGGATACATCACAGTAATATCAATAAATGCAACACTATGAGCAACGTTAAGTCTGGAAAATACAGTTGCTTGCAAATTAGCCATATGTAAATGTTCAAAAAGAAAGAATGAGTCAGTAGGGCAATTCTTTAGAATCGCAGCAGAAAATCCTTACCTGTGACCAAGCACTTTCCCAGGCCATCTGGATGAAGGTGAGCAGAGTGACCAAAGTCACACAGAAGAGCTCTGCTTCCATCATCAGACAAGAGCACATTTTCCGCTGTCAATGAGAAGTTTTTAATTAGTCAGTCTTCTTTGTATTGTGGTCACTGAGATAGGAAAAAAAAAAGTCAAAAGCCCACAGAACTATAGTCTTCTGAGTCCAAACCAAGGTCTATTACTCCTATGGAGTGTCATTGGCTTAAGCAAGTACACAACTATAGTTATTTCTACTTATAAACTACCAATTATCCGCCCTGGAGATTCCTCTGCCCCAGTGGTGGGGCAGCCTGGGCAAACAGCCTGTCAGACCCATCGGATGACAGAAAGAAAGAGGTGACAAATATGATATGCCCAGCTGTTTAGAACCAAGTTAAGCTCTAATCTCAAATGTAGAGTTGAAAATCTAGTAACTAACCTTTTGCCACTCAGGAACTTAATCTCCAAGCAGTTTGCCTCTTGTAAGAAAAAGGGAAGAACAAGGTACCTTTAGTACCATCCTACCTTTTACATCTCCATGGAGAATGTTTTGAGCGTGAAGATACTCCAAGCCCTCTAATGCCTGGCCCAAATAACTGAGGGCTCTGTCCTCTGGCAGGCAGCCACTCTGTTTAATTAGCTGACCTAGTGAGCCACCTAGAAAGGAACCCAGAGAGTCCATGTTAGCTTATCTTTAAATTCTTCCCAGCATCATCAGCGTTTCTCGTTGTTTCTGACGAAGAAATGAGAACTGCCAGGTCTGACAGCCCTTATCTTCCACACATGGGTCTGTTCCTTCTGTTTATTCCCAGAGTTCTTACTGCCCACAGAAACTGGCCTCTTTCATGAAGCCTTTTGCTTAGTGTCAGTTTAACGGTGTTGCTTTATATTAAAAGCAACTACTCTGTGATGAGATCAGACATTTCTAGGTGCTACTGATCACCAGCCAATTCTTCACAAGCTGTGTTTTCCATGGTCCTGGCTAGAAAAAGAGCATCAGGCAACAGAAGCATCTAGGTTTGCTTATACAGTATCCCCTGTTCCAGCCAATATGCTTTACACGGTGCCGTGCAAATAAACATGAAAGCAAAAACCAGCATCAGCTGTGTGTCTTAATGAGAATTTTCACATCTTGAACTCAAGTGAGGCAGGACTGGAAATTATTCCCCCCACAGAAAGACCATTGCTACACACCAGCAGGGGTTACACATACCTATCCCAACCCACTCAGGAATTAACGTTAGGAACACTCTGGATACATCAAAGAATTAACAGATTTAAAATTGGGGCAGGAGGAAGAGGAGATCAATGTCCACCGCATTCAACAGTTACAATGGTGCTTCCATTGTTGTTCCTTTCTCACCCTCCATCAGCTTCATGAAGATGGTCACCCAAGGTCCTTCCTTCACAGCTCCGTACAAGGGGACAACTTTAGGACTTGTTATTGCAGCACATGTCGTTAACTCCTCTGCACGGAAGTGTTCAACTTGTACCTAGAGAAACAAAGAAGTACTGAACAAATTTTATGACGAACCCTGACAGAATCGTCCCTCTCTGGTGCTCGGGTCAGAGTATCCTACACTGTTTAACAGCAGAGGCACAAGGATGACCTTCGTTAACAGAAATCAGTGGGTACAGCAATAAGTGGGAACACTCAGAACGATTCATGAACAAGGATGAGAATCCCTACATCCTCAGTGTCCGAGTAAAGTGAAGATTTATCAAAAAAGATGCCAGGTTGCAATACCTCCAGCTTATAGCTGAGTACTGGTAATCTTCAGGAGGAAGGTAATTTCTGTCTCAGTTAAAAAGATAATACTGACAACTTAAGCATTCTGCTTTCATGAAAAAGGAAAAAAAATTAAGGATGGTGCAGTACTTGGCAAAAATAAAACTCCCCCAAAAAAGGAGGGAATATGAAATATGGCCACAAGCAGCGATCTACACTATCACCTTTTTAGGTGGTACTCAGCCTGCACAGAAAAATGGTTAAAGAAAAACTCTATTCACTAAGTTCAGCCAAACAAAATAAAACAAGAATTTGCTAAAGACCAGAAGGAAAACATGAGTCATTAAGATTCTAGTGGGAAAAGGATGTATCATGTTTCTTCACTGTCAGCAGTCCAGCTATAGCTAGTTTTCTTTAATCTCAAAAATTTGGAGAGCAGGTGCTTACAACACCAAGTATGGTGAAAGAAGGTCAGGTAGTCCCCTTCTAACTCAGGCAGACAGCAGTAATTGAAGACGGTTACTGATGTAAAACGAAACACATCATAGTTAAGTGTTCAACTTGCACGTTAGAACTCACTGGTTTAAGAGTTTGGTCTGACAAGATGTATTTCTGATCTACAGAACTATCCTTTGAAATGCTCCAGTAATTAGGGAAAAAAAAAAAAAATTGACATTTTGAAAGACTTCAGCTTCTCCTACTCTCATGTCTTCCTTTTCAGCACAACCACTCCTCCTGCATGAAAACATACCCCACTAGTAACAACTATTTCTCCTAAGACTGTCTATTTGCAAAATGGATAATAAATTTAAGTAGTTATATACTGTCAGAAAACAAGCTGGTCATGTTGCCACAGAATTCCACATCTAAAATGTGAGGACGCAGAATAGGAAATAATTTTCTACATGCTTTAAATATGTTTGCTTCTATACAGCTGACAAATGAAATGGCTAAAAAACTGAACAAGCTGGCTTAGTCTTGCCACTTAAATCTTTCCACAGGCAATGAATCAAGTTGAGACCAATGTAAACAAGAAAAAGCAAACGTTTTAAATTGAAAAACGCAAGTTCCAATTCTTTTTGCATATAATATTATTTTTGTACTCAAGACAAACGCTTCCCACGCACTTTTTGAAGTTTTCTATTGGAGTAACGTGAGAAACATCAGTTCACAGAGGTGATTAAACTATTCAAGTGTTAAGTTCAAACAAAATAGTTTACATTCTCATCATCTACTTGCATTATCACTCTGCCTTCACCTCTGAGGCCCCCCCACGGCTGCCTACAAATCAATACCCTGATTCAAGTTATATTCCACACACTTCATACATGGTATGACAAGGGCATATCTTGGTGTACAATGGATTATGCCAACTTCTGGAAAAACACATATCCTTTGCCGCACCTGTAACAGAATCACCTCATTACAATGCGCCAGTATTGCATATGACACTCACTGAACAGACAAAAGCTCTCTCCGTTTTGAGTGCTTCCTGACTGCCTTATTTTTTTCCTACTTTATTCGTTTTTCAACAGAGAAACACATGCCATGTCACCATGTACACTAGACGTGTTTTAACATGAGAACAGTTAGATAAGCAGACAACTCACACAGCTGCTTCTCCCCCGCAGTCACTAGGGACACACAATCTTTCTGAAATCTCTACTCTTTCGGCCTGTCTCAGCACAAAAATCAAGATCCCTTCTAGCACGCTTTGAAGGCCAAATGAACCTATTTCTGGCTGCTAAGCTTGACGCCCTGTGCACATACAGGTTGTCTGTCTGCTTCTTCTCTCCATGCCATCACCTTGAAGTTTTCCCTTGGACATAACCACAGCAGCATTTCACTATGACTGTACAATAAGGTACCTACTGGTAGCTGGAAGGAGAAGACTTTTTCTCCGTACGCCTTCTTGTGTCAGGACTGCCCCCCCCCCTTTCTCACACATAATTACCTTTTTGGCAGCACACTGAAATCCCGTCTGTTTGTCCTCTATTTTGTATACTTCTCCAAAAGAGCCAATGCCCAAAGAACCATGACACTTGGTCCAATGAACCTCTTCTCGGTACTCATAATCCACTGGCTTTAGTTTCTGGAAGTTAAAATCAGAAAACAAGATGAAGCAAGGAAAGAAACACTTAACTGTTGAGCTCCACAGACAGAGACCAACATTTTCAGAAAAAGCACAATGATAGATACCACCGCACCTCTCAAAATCCCTGTACAAAATTACTTCTGTCACAGGCTTGAGATGAAACGATACGGGAGGACCTACTTGATTTCTGTGGGCTCTGTTTGATCTAAATGAGTGCACCCCATTGTTGTAAAGGAAGGCCACCAGTATTTGGATAGCTTTGGAGCTCCAAACTATTCCCTTCATGTGCAGGACATAACTACGAAGCTAAATCCTACAAACAAAACAAGATTCACATGACTAAATGTGAACACACATAGACGTCTATGTGTGAGCTAAACCTTTTTTATAGTCAGTAGACTGAGATTGTGCCTTAGGTCCCAGTGTAAACATGTTCAGGCAGGTAAGTGACACCCTGAACGCCACCGACAATACTGACAGGGTCACACTGATTCCAGTGAAGAGTACTCTAAGAGGAGTTTAAGGTGGCAAGAGAGAACTGAATTCAGAAGAAATGAATCATGCCTCTAACATTTACATGCATCTGCTATGCCCAAGCCCTGCATTTGGCAAGGGACAACGGGCGAGTTGCTGGGTTCCTACCAGAGACAGCAGACATGCTTTTTGCACCTTCACGATCTACATGTCCCTGGTTTCTGTCTGTGTCACCGTGTAGGTCATCTATAGCCAATAAAATATTGGAGCCTGTTCACATGAATGGACTGGGTTCTTTCACAGACAAACAGAGAAGACATGTTTGAAGACTGACTAAGCACAGAAACACTTCTCATAGACAAGCATGCATATTTTGTGAATGAGTGAACAAGTTAGAGCCACCACTCTAAGACAGGGCTTCATATCCTTCAAAAAACAAAACCGCATCTTTAACTGGCAGTCTTCACCCATATTTCAACCATTCAGAAAATGCAGCCTTGTTACAGAAGCTAGCACATGGATGCAGATTCTCTCTCTTCTGAAGCCCAGGAGAAACTCTGCCTTCCACGACACTAGTGTGTAGGGTCAGAAGATCACCTCATTAAGTAGCACGCCTTCATTTTCATCCGCTTCATGAAATTGTTCCTTTGGGTCCAGACCACCTCCTCTCCACGTCTTGGCTAGGCTGGCTAAATTTTGTGGTTCACCGAGACTCACGCTCCCCTTCAAGGCATCTACCAAGTATTCTTCCACAGAAATCTTGTCCAAACTGGTTTTCATGGACTGGTTGACACATTTGGGGAAACTATATTCTAAGTTTAGGCCAGGTAAGTGATGCTCACTGTCTTGATAGTTGAGATCACCATGGAAGTATGTCTCCAGAGCATTACGTTTCATGGCATGGAGCGGACTGTCCAGATGTGGGAAATGAGGGGGTATTATGTTGTAAGGAAAAGGATGGAGAGTTTCAGGCTGTGGAACACTGTCCCTCTGATAGTGCCGTTTCCAAACATGATTAAGGCACTGAATAGGGCTTATCAACTTGTGCAGTTCTGTTTTGTATTGGCTTCTTGGTGAATGGAGTTTGCCCGTGGACAGAACTTTCTCAGGTTTCTCAAATGGCAGTGGATCATAGACCAAGTCCTTGTTAAGTTCTGAAACCCAAAAATTGTTTCTGTAAAGAGTATTTTGGTGCAATTCATCCTCCTAGAAAATAAAACAAAACAAAACAGCTGAGCAGGAACCTCAATATAGCCACCCAAAATTCAACCAAGAATTGTTAGGAGTTTGCAGGACTCCTAAACCAAGGAAGGTTTAAGGATTCTCACCTGGACGGGAATTGGAGTGCAGCTCTCTTGTTCTGGAGTTCTGGGACCTCGCCTGCCAGCAGCCACTGTTTGTATTTTCAGCTTGGATCTTTTCTTGTGACGTTTCTTTTTCGTCTTACCACGATGCCTCCCTCTCCAACAGGTAGGCGCCATCTTCCCCTCCGTTGCATGGGCCACATTGTTAGGGATTTGATCGAGGCTGTCTGACCGGCTATTGGAAACCAAAATGCATGAAGTCTCTTAGATCTGACGGTGAAAGCACACCTCCAGTTAACAATTATGACCAACAGAACAAGAATGAGAATAAGCAATTCTGCCTTCTGAGATTTAAAGAACAGAGAATGATAACATAACTTCTTGCTTTCTAATATGTAGCATTTGTAACTTCAATATCAAGGCACAGTAGTATATCTGGCATTGCGAGAAAGAAATGTGGGGGGTGCGTGGGGGAAGCAAAGCATTAAGTCTCCCAGTATTTGCAAATTCTGCAAGGAACAGCAGGACTAGATGGCAAAGTAGAGGGAAAAAGTACTGAATGTCTCCAGGTTGCTTTGAGACAGTTTGTGTCTATGATTTATAGTGAACACAGAGATTATGTATAAATGCAATCTATTTAAAAAAATTGTTAAAATTCATAAAAGTGCTCATAATATAAACGTCTGCTCTATTTGAAAGAAAAATAGGCTTTGCACCAAAGAAAAGGGATGACTAAGCACACTCAAATAAAATAGCTTCAAAAAGCCAAAGTGTTCTGGCATGTAAAGCTCAATCAATACGATTTCTAGGAATGCATATATATACAAAACAGCACTGGCCAGCACACCAACTGGGGGTCTGTACAGATAGCTGCAACTCTCAGAGGAACATTTGCGTGCAGTTATTCAATACCAATCATAGTAGTTAGATTTTTTTTAATCAAGTTGTAAGAGAAAACAGGATATTTGATCTTCAAATGAAGAAATCACAGTTGTTCTGTTGATCCATGCAGTATATCATCTGCCTTTACTGAAGAGCAATGCAGTTCACAGCCAGCATTGCTCTCTCCACCTTTTCCTGCTGTTTCAGTGCACCACTGAGTGCTAAAAGATCCAATAAGTAGCGTTCTAGGTGATGGCATTACCACATTGCCTTGAACCTGAACAATTAGCTGGTGTGCATTCTACATAAAGCCCTCAAGAAATGGTTCACTCTGCATTTCTTCGGTTGGTTCATGGGACAACGTCAAAGTCAGTGGGCAACGTCAAACCATATGCCACCCAAGGCCAGATTCAGCGTCTGAAAGCCACCAGAAAACAGGCAGCACCTAAGTCTATATCCCAGACACCCACTTCAGAGAGCACTGGAGCTGCTTAATAAAGCTCCAGTGCTTAATAAAGCTCCAGTATGTGCCCCAGTAGGGCACATATTCTTCATGAAGGAAAAGTGGCTCACTCCCAGATGACTTCAGAAAAGCAAGTCCCAGGCCTCCATTTTCAATTGCAACTGTTACTCCCCCTTTGCCACTTTCAGCTTCTCTTCACAACTCTATTTCTGTTGCTGATGCTCTCATTAAGTAAAGGTTCTTCTCTCATCCCCTTTTGTTTAACCTCCCCAGAAACAAAGTAGTTCCTTTTTCTCAGGACTACTAACAGCAGCCTAAGTTTCCCACAGCTTTTCAAAGGGGATGGTGTAACATGGTTTCAAAAGCATCAGGACAGTTCAGTTAAAAAAGACTGAAAACTTTCCCTTGGATCCTTCTACCTCAAGCTCATGAACCTCAAAAAATGACTCAGTCATTCCAAAACAAATTAGACAACCCAGGAATAGAGGCAGAAGACAATCAGCAGGCATTGACAATAAGACAATGCAAGGTGTTTTGAGTGGTTTGTGCTTAAACTTCTATTTTCTTCTAACACAAAAAGGTTTTGAGGAAGATGTTTGGGGAAAGACACACTCTTCCCGAACCTCAGACAGAAAAGCTAATTCAAACAGGAGTGCTTTTGGAAAAATTATCGCAAGCACACAGAGCCAGGGTGATTTGGAACAAGTCAGCACATATAACAGTGAAGGTGGGTATTCATGTTAAGGGGTCTCTCACCTGTAACGCTTACTATGAGCAATAAAGGATCTCTCTGATAAAGTGGGGCTGAACTCCTGACTGTTTTCACCTGTGTGAAAGAAAACAGGATCATCACATGTCTTCAATATCAGGCAAAGTCTATCCTGGTAACAACTGGACTGAGAAACAACTCTACCAACTTGCTAAACCAAGCAGTGATCCGGACAAATCACCACACAGTTGTGCCACATCATCCACACTACATTCTTCCTCCCCCAGCATTAGACAGCTTCCCAGCACTGCGATCTCCTGATCCCCCAGCTCTTTCCCACCTGACAGCTTTATTTTGTTTTGTTTTTTTCCCTCTTTTCCCCCCCTCTTTTAAAACATCTTTCAGAAGTCAGCCAAGAACAGATGACCCAGCAGGACACAGATTTATAGTCAAAGCAGCTAGGTGCAATGGCCACATGCTGTTCTGTTATTTATGCTTTATTCAGTGGATGCTGACACATTATTAGGAGATTTCATGAGCTTCCTAAATAGAGACTGGGATGTGTCACTAACTCCACCCCACTTGGGATTACAAATAGATTTCAGCTCAGCTCTCCAGGAGTGCAAAGTGAGTGAAATCTCATAGCGCGTTACACATTCCTTTTTCTCAATGAAGAGCAGACTGCTCTGCTACTTACATTCTGCTTGGGCAATAATAGAAATTGATGCACAGCCTCCTTCTGTTTCTTCTTTTGCTGTTCCTTTGGTGATTACATCATTCAGGATTTTCCACTGACTGTGAAAGATGACCTTCTTTGAATCTTCTACTTTGCAAACACTGCTCTGCTTTTCACTAACTGTCTCGTTCAGCCCCTTGGTAGCTGTGAGCTCCTTCTTGTGCTTGATGGCTGGATCAGGAGCTCCTTGGCATGTAATTCCCATCACTGCCATTTCACAGGTTCAGAGAGTCACTGAATAAGAAAAAAAAACCAAAGCAAAACACTTGTCAAAATACTTAACTTCACAGGCAGAAAGCAGCTTCAAGTTCATGAGAAACAGGAGGCTGCTGAAGGTATCAGATTACTAAATAATTTAAACCAAATCAAGGTCCTACCCAACCTCTGAGCACAGAGCTGAAAAAGAACCCAAGACTGCCAGGTCTCCATCCCTGACTTGTACCACTGAAGAACTGAATAATCAACATTATTCCAAGTACTAAAAATATGAGACCACACAGGTTTCAAAGGGAAATTTATTTCTTGGTATATTCCTTTAGCTTAAATACAAACAGTGAAACCATATAGAAGAGGAAACGTATCACTAAACAGGAAGAATATTCACCCCAAAAAAAGAATAAAGAAGAAGACACGAGAGACTTTCTCCTAGAGTGCACCTAGGAGAAATTACATTGTGCTCTCACACCACATAAAATGGCCATAGAATCCTGCTAATTGCTTTCTTCCTTGTACTCAGTCACCCTCAAATCCATTTCTCATTTTTCCTTCCAATGAAACAAGGCTAGACAATCAGCCTGCCCATTCATAGCTCCTCCCTCACTCCCCTTCCTTTCCCTTAATCACCAATAATTTTTGAAATACTTGGTCAAGCCCCACAAAAGTAGAGGTCTTATGGTGTATCGGATTAATGCAAGTTGGTGTTGGATAGAAGACAGTGATGGTGCTGGAAAAGACGAACCCCTCCGCTTGGCAGCAGCTGGCGAGTCAATCAGCACGGGCTGCTAGCTGACCAGTTAGCGTAAATGTAGCTCCAAACAAGTCCCAGCACATGCCAAATCTTGGCCAATTGGCAGCGCAGAGGAAGGTGGAAGGGAGCCAGGGGTGGAAAGGGAGAAGTATAAAGAAGCATGGAAGCAAGGCACTGCAGGACAGGACAGGGATATATTGTGGGGTGGAAGTCACAAATGTGGAGAGTTAGGGCTTCCCTACAACCACACTGAACACAAGCCCACAGGAAATAATGGCTTTGGTTTAGCCCCTGATCCCCTCACCTTGGATTCCGGAAAAGTTAACACAGTTGTTTTCTTTTAAACCAGAATATGCTCTATTGCCCCTTAACTGTAGAGGTCACTTCCTCGTGCCAGTCCTCTCACAGCTCAAGTGCAACATCTTAAAATGAACATTTCCATCATTAAACAGCCCACGAAAATTCAGAAACCTTAGCAAACATGTACAGTTCTTAAGTACCACGAACCCAATATAAGACAAGGAGGAGGGACATTTGAACAGAGGCCAGCAAAAACAAGATCTCAAAACTATTACAGGAGCACATCTTTGAGGCTCATCAGTTTAAATCTGCACCAAGGATTTTCTTTTCCTTTTGTCTCCTTTCCACCCGCCCTGAACAGCTGCCTGGGGTAACAGGACATTTACTCTAACAGGCTCCTGGCAACACAGATCACTCAGGAAAATGACAAAACTAGTGGGTGCTCTGTGCCTAAAGGGCCACCAAAGAAAGGGGAAGGGAGCCGTTAGGGAGCCAAGTGCGTGAACCTTGGTGTGATGTGTAAATGAGTCACCTAACAACCTGGCAGGTATACAAGGAAAGTCAACAATGACCACATTCAGCGGCTAAACAGAGAACAGCTGCTGTGCAAAAGAAGTGCTGATGACAGTATCCCACTCATTACGCCCGTCCCGCTCCCTCTCCTCTACAGAAATTATGTCAAATCTCAGTGCTGTAAAATAATCCCTTGGAGCAGCAGAAAGAGAGCCTGCCAGATGACTAACCCAAGCCACCAGTGACCAAACTGACAACTTCAGAGCTATTTTTATACTCACTCTCTCCTGATTTGCATTAACTCTGTCTCTCCTTGCCCTCCCCTCACCTTCAAGGACTTTCAAGGTCTGCAGCGCAAACCCATCCCCATCGCCAAAAACTACGTAATTCTACAAGTCAATCCTCAGCCTAGTTAAAAGCCAACAGAGGGAGGGGAGAAGCAAAATTGCAAGTCCTTGTCGCCCTCTGAAATAGAAAAGAATAACAAGGAAATATTACTGAGATTAAAGTCAACAAAGCACATACCTCCCTTGCCGACTAAAAAAAAAAAATGAGGTAGCTATTGTAAGCAATGTCCTCTAACACAGCAGCCGCCGGCGCTCAGACAGTTTAATGTGTGACTCAGGTCTACAAGGCTGTGTAGGCACAGAAGCTGCGAGCCCAGCCCAGTTTAACTATTGCTGCACAACTTTCAGGTCTTTATAAGAATCAAAAACCCAACTATTTTTATGGTACCTACAACAAGCATAGTTGGCAGAAGTTGTGATTAAAGAGAAAATAAAATCAGAACTTTTAAATAATTTGTGAAGCATAACTTCTCTTGAAGCTACATATTCAGAACTGAACAGGCTAGACTCATCTCTGTGCACTTGGAGGGGGCGGCAATCCAGAGAGGTGCAAAGCATTCATAAGCCCCATTAATTCGGACGTAGGCACTCAGTCTCTCAGGCCCAGGCCCCGCGCGCAACCCTTCTCAGGGAAGCTCTAGATAAAAGGGGGTCTTGGGAGCAGTAAATGGGTACCTGAGGTTCCACGGCAAGAGCACCAAGAACAGGATTTACCCACGAGACATGCTGGAGCTGTGGTTTCAGCTGCCTATTTACTTGCCGCCGCTCCAAGATGAGCACAGCTTCCTGTACAGACATAAGTTACGTACGTGCAACATGAGGAGCTTCAAGTTATTGAGCTGGAGGGTGGTTGTTTCATACCCCAAAGTGCTTCTCTGGTTTTCAAAACCTCCTCTCCCTCATCCAAGTCACTTAGATTCAACTGTAATTCTTGATTTCAATATCCCTGACTTTCTTCCTTCTGTAGACATGTGTATGGGCTCGTTATTGTCAAGGAAGAAAGGGGAAGTCGGGTTAATGATGCAGTAGATAAAAGTGAATACTACACCCCTAACCCACAACGGGCTTTTGCTAGCAGCATTAAAGACTATCTCCTTATCTTCACTAAGGTTTTGCACTCACCTCTGGTTAACTAATGTTAGTTCTCACTGCTGTAAAAAAGAAAGTGCATTTTTACAGAATGAAAGCCAAACACAGTATCAGTTGTGCTGTGGAGGCACTGGTCCGACGGCAGTGGCAACTCCTCCCTCAAAAAACGTCTGTGCTCCTGTGGGAAGCTAATATACTGGATAAGGTCATCTGAGACTTGTAGGGAGTCAGAATTAAGGAGACACTCAAACATTATTAATATAAGAAATAACCATGTGCTTTCTGTTCCTTTAAAACCTCCTCCCTCCACCTAAACAAGTCCCTGTTCACCCTCTTCAGCTCTTCCTTCTCAACTGGAAGCTATTTGTAGCAGGGACCTTAAAAGAACATTTCTGTGTTTCATGAAGTTACCATCTATATAGAAAGAGAGACTCATAGCTGGAAAAAAGTAATGCAAATACCTCTCCAGCTCTAAAACACTCTGCAGCATACCATAATATGGGGTCCTGCTTGGTCTGCCTGGGTCAAATCTCCCTTGCCAATGGCTTTTTGGAGAATTTCAGTTAACATTTTGTGGAGTAGCCCATAGATTTGGTTAAAAAAAGACTTGGGAAAGAGCTTTAAAATATACATAAGGCTTCATAAGCTAGCTTCAAAGTATGCAGATTTCTTCTCCTAGCCTGAGTGCGAATGTTGAGCAGCAGTTTCACATTGACATTTAGTTTGAAGGAAAAAAAAAAAGAAAAAAAATCATGTTGTCTCAGTGAGGTTTCCCACTTCCTTATTGAGAAGAGTTTTATGAACAATGCATTAACTTAGGTTAGCCTTCTCTTTTGTAGCTGTTACTGGTTTATTAAAACAACACAACTAGCATTTTAGCAACGTTGCTTTGCTGACCACTACAACAAAGCAACAGCTGGGAAGAGCCAGGAATTTATGCATCACTAGATCAGGGAATGTCAAACGAAAAGAAGAACATACACCTTTCGGGGACCTTCCAGTCCTAACAGCTGTTGGTAGGTATTTGAGAAAGTGCTAGGTCTGCAGCCAAAAGAACCTGTCCACAGTATTAGCTACAAAATCATCATACAAAGTCATCAAACCTTATCAAAAACCACACGTTTCACCAAAGAAAAAAAAAAGATTACACTTATTAAAAAAATGAATCACACTAAAGATCTGGTTTGGGGCCCAAGGAGTAGATATACATGTACAACCCTTTCAAACCCCAGGCACCACTTCCCCTTGTCCCTGCCTCCTCACCGTTGTCTTTCTCTGCTTGGATGCTATCGATGAGCTTCCTTGCCTGCCCACGTTTCAGATGGAACTGAAATTAAGACAGTTCCGTTTTCGGCCGTGTCAGTTTAAGGCATATTATTGTAGCATGGGCCCGGGGTGGTTATTTAAACAAGCTCAGTGCTGTCAGCAAGGAGAAGTTTCGATTTGTGTCAGAAGAGACTTAAAAAAAAGTTGTAGCACTCAACACACTCCCCTACCTTAAAGCACACTTAATGCCATTTTAAGTTAACAGGTTTAGGAGAAAAAAAAGTCTTGCCTTGCGTATCTAAGAGTTCCAAAGCAAAAATAAATAGAATGCCTGACTGATTAAAATACTGGTGAGTCAGATCACCAGTTGCTATTCCAGGATGCTCACAGCCTTCACCTCCTCTTCCTTAACCAGTGTTACCCATTCGTCTGTAGAAGGGGATCCTGTACAATCTTGTCTGGTTCCTCTCGGTCTCTCACGTATTGTCAAGTACTGCTGCACGCAGGTTTACCTGAAGATCACCAGGTAAAGCTAACCTTCTACCTAAACCACCACGGAACTGCCTGTTTGAAGGGTTTCACTATCAGCCTTGTGTTCAGGAGTAAGTTATGTTACAAATGATAATAAATATGTAAACATATTCTTTAAAGTGGTTTGATAGTAAATACTTCAAAATCCTGTTTCAGCCATTTGTATTGCTTACTGTAAACATCAGGATAACGAGCTTCAAGTGTCTTTTTAGTTGCCAGACATTAGTATATTGCAACAGTTTGGTTACAAAGTCTGTAGGAAAATATTTGACTGGGTTTAACCATCAGCAGAATTTCTAACAGTATCTAAACACACCTATCTATCTTCATTTCCTCAAGTACAAGGTTGAGTACAACGCACCCCTTAACAATTCTTTTCATGTTGCTGAACAAAGATATGAACAACACCATTTGCCCAGAGTTTATAAACATCACTGCAACCCCGTTCATCCAAAGAAGAGGCTAATTTTTCCAAACTGCTTGGCAAACAAGTATAACAGAAAGCATCAGAACAATCTTCAACCTGACAAGGTTTTGCTTCCCGGCCTGGCTTAGCTGTTCTCACGCAGGCTTTCAGGACACTGCTTAATGACATCCTGATTTTTAAGACCCACTTGTGGAGTGAAGCTATTTCCTAAATTATAAGAAGATGATATAATAAAGCACCTAAATGGACAACTTCCAACAATAACCACAAACACGCATTAAACTCAATTCTGCCCAAGCAGGCAGGACTGAGTTTTCACCAGTTATTACTATACATTGCTTTGCAGCTTGAAATTTTCAATCACATTTATAAAATGCCATGTAAGGCTACATAAAGCAGTAAGGCTGAAGCGCTAGGCCAAAACAAAAGTTTAGTTAAATTTAGTATAGATAGAAGCATTTCTATGTAATCTTAATTTATGATTGGTCCTGCAAATTCAGTTATGATGATTTTATGCTATAAAGTAGAAACACGAACTGACCAGAGTAGTTTCTAACTGCCCATCCTGAGCAATCACCCATGAGACAAACTCCCATATTAACTGCAGAAGAGAACTGCCTTTTAGACAAGATGAGGTCCATATTCTTCAGGACCCAGGGCCCTGATGTCACTAAACTGTGACGAGCAAAGCCCAGTTGCCTACAGATTAAAGTCCCACAAGTCTAGCCCTCATAAGGCCTCCTTCTGGTCCCCCCATGCATCCTCTTGGTCTCCCTTCCCCAGCATCTCCAGACCCTTTCCTAACTCAGGTCTCTTTTACTCCAAGCCAGCCACTCTTCTTGGAAATTGGAGATTTTTCTGTCTTCCAGACCTCTCTCTCTGTCTCCACTGACAGGTTTGACTGACACTTGCCAGCAAACTGCAGAAGTTGCAGAAGGAAAGTTAAAGAGACAGGATGGTCACATTTGCCTCCATCCTCTTAGCAGCCGGAGCAATAATTAGGCACCACATTACTGTTACAACAAAAGCTCAGCTCTGCCTTCTCACATTTAACCCTGAAATAAGACTCAGGACAGACCGTGGCAAAGTTCATTAACTCCAGTGATGTTCATTAACTCCACAAATCCTTCAGGATTTTTGGTTGTTACATGTTTGTTTGTTAGTTATACTCCTTCACAGCACGCTATACAAAGATTCACTCTCTTATAGCAGTTAAAATTTAATAGTTAATAGCAAATGACTCATTCCAAAGGAATCTAGTGGCTGTGCCAATAGCAGATTTTAACTTAGTTAAAATGCAATAAAGCAGCACACTACAGACACATATTTCAAAGCCCAATTCGATTATTCTTATCACTAATGTCACAGCAAAGAAGGTGCAAGTTATTACTCATAAAAGAGTTCAGAAAGCCAGTTGAAAAAGAAATTTAGACGTTGTTTATGGATGCTAGTTTCAGATAGCTGCTTCTTACATGTGCAAAGCACTGAACACATGTTTCTAATGTAACCGATTAAAGTAGACAGGAAGCATCGGAGATCAACCACAGCAGCAACTTATTAATCAGCAAAGAAGCATTTTAACCTTCTGCCAGAAAAAAAAAAAAAAGAAAAACGTCACGTCAAAGAGAAGTGCCACGGCTAACTGCAAGAGGCGAGCCGACAGGCAGTTTAACTGAACTTCAGATCTTATTCAGTTGTATATTTTGATTAGCTGATCTCAGGCCTGCCTCCTCCTCCCCTCTCCAGGGCCAGGGATCGCTTTGGAAAGCGGCACCTAGCAACACCCAATGAACACGGCAAAGTCTGCGGCTTCACCTCTTCCCTCCGGCGGGCACTCCGGGACAGGCGCGGCTGGCAGGGAACCGGGGAGCTCAGGAGCCGAGGAGAGGAGCTTCCGAGCGGAAAAGTGACATCCAGGCTTTAAAAAAAAAACACCACAGAGAGGGTCTCAGTGCCCCGTGGAGACGTGGGCAGCGTGTGCAGGCGAGGGAGGGCGGCTGCAGCGGGTCCCAGGAGGAGCCCGTTAACCGGCAGGTACCGCTCAAAGCCCCCCGGTACTCCCGGGCGGCCAGGGCCCTTCCCGCGGCGGCCGCCGGCT